CACTTTAATTATTTGCTTTGAAATTTTGTATACATGTAGCAAAGAGTGTGCTAATAGTGTTAGCCTTTTGCCGTCAGGAAGTATTTTGACCCACTTTTGAGATATGGTGTCCGTAAAGTAGGTCTAAATTGAAATTTCTCATAATTTAACTTATGAGTTATGAATTATGAGTAGAATTTTCTCAGGAATCCGAATCTGCAAACCAAATTTCAATCCGACTTTTCGTTGGGAAGTTATGGCGTTTTGAAAGCTCAAAAATCGCTAATTTTGGTGCCCAATGTTATGTCAATGAGAAAAAAGATTTTTTTGAAGTGTATAATTCCAGATAAAGACTGAGTACAGCTTAAGATTCTGAAAGTCTATAAAAGAAGGGGACCTCGAAGGCTATCTAGCTTTAAAATTTGGACACCAAAATCCCTAGGTCAAAATCTAGGTCAAATACATAGTTTTTCCTTATTTTTGCGATTCTGGCACTACACTTTTAGGATTTGCTTCAAAATTTTGTATACAGGTAGCAAAGAGTGGGCTAATAGTGTTAGCCTTTTGCCGTCAGAGAGTATTTTGACCCACTTTTGAGATATGGTGTCCGAAAAGTAGGTAAAAATAAAAAATTCTCCAAATTTTACATATGAGTTATGAATTAAGAGTAGAATTTTCTCAGGAATCCGAATCTGCAAACCAATTTTCGATCAAACTTCTGGTTAGATAGTAATAGCGGTTTGAAGTCTCGAAAAGACGATATGATGATATCCCCATGTCATGCATATGGAGTCGAAGATAACATTCTTAAGAGTTGTCTAAATGTCTATATTCTAGCTGACTCAGCTTATAGTGAATGACTCAGCTTACAAGTAATTGGATGACTCAGCTTAAAACAAGTCTTAAATCTGGAGTCTTAAATTGAACTTGTTCAATTTACATGTCTAGTTATTCTTTTTTCTTCCTCCTTACCAAATTTCTCGTCAACTATAACAGCTTACTTAATCCAACTTACATGGTTAACTGAAGACTGTATCCGGCTTTCTGGGAAATTAGGTCAAATTTCTATCTAGGTCAACGGTCAAGAACTAGGTCAAATCCAGTACTTTGTCACTTTTTCCCATTATCTAGGTCGTCCTTCAATATTTTTGATCCGGGTTTTTTTCATTGTGTTCCTCATAAAAAAGTAGAAAACCTAGGTTCGATTTAGTTTTTTGGTATCTCAAACCGATTTTGAGATATCAGTGTCCGAAAACGAGGTCCAAAAAAAAATTCTCCGAATCCAATGTCCAGGATATCAGTCTTATAGGAAATTTTCTCAGGATTCCGAATCTGAAAACCAAATTTCGATCTGACTTCCGGTTCAGAAGTTATGGCGTTTTGAAAATTCAAAAATCGCTAAATTTGGTGCCCCATGTTAATTCAATGGGGGGAAAAAAAATTTTAAAGTGTAAAATACGACATATAGACTAAGCACAGCTAAACATAATGGAAGCCCATAAAAGAAAGGGACCTCAAGACCTTCTTTTCATAAAAATTTGGACACCAAAATGCCTAGGTCAAAATCTAGGTCAAATTCAAAGTTTTTCCTTATTTTTGCGATTCTGACACTACAGATTAATTATATTTTTCGAAATTTTGTATACATGTAGCCAAGAGTGTGCTAATAGCGTAAGCCTTTTGCCGTCAGAAAGTATTTTGACCCACTTTTGAGATATGGTGTCCGAAAAGTAGGTCAAACTAAAAAGTTCTCCAAATTTAACGTATGAATTATGAATTAAGGGTAGAATTTTCTCAGGAATCCAAATCTGCAATCCAAATTTCAATCCGACTTTTGGTTCTGAAGTTATGTCGTTTTGAAAGCTCAAAAATCGCTAAATTTGGTGCCCCATGTTATGGCAATGGGAAAAAAGATTTTTTTGAAGTGTAAAATACGAGATATAGATTGAGTACAGCTTAAGATAATGAATTCCTATAAAAGAAGGGGACCTCAAAAGCTACCTAGTTTCAATATTTGGACACCAAAATGCCTAGGTCAAAATCTAGGTCAAATTCATAGTTTTTCCTTATTTTTGCGATTCTGGCACTACACTTTTAGGATTTGCTTCAAAATTTTGTATACAGGTAGCAAAGAGTGTGCTAATAGTGTTAGCCTTTTGCCGTCAGAGAGTATTTTGACCCACTTTTGAGATATGGTGTCCGAAAAGTAGGTCAAAATAAAAGTTCTCCGAATTTAGCATATGAGTTATGAAATAAGGATAGAATTTTCTGAGGAATCTGAATCTGCAAACCAAATTTCGATCCGACTTTCTGTTTGAAAGTTATAGCGTTTTGAAAGCTCAAAAATTGCTAAATTTGGTGCCCCATGTTATGTCAATAGGGAAAAAGATTTTTTTGAAGTCTAAAATACCAGATATAGACTGAGTACAGCTTAACATTCTGAAAGCCTTTAAAAGAAGGGGACCTCGAAGGCTATCTAGCTTTAAAATTTGGACACCAAAATGCCAAGGTCAAAATCTAGGGCAAATTCATAATTTTCCTTATTTTTGCGATTCGGACATTACACTTTAATGATTTGCTTCGAAATTTTGTATTCAGGTAGCAAAGAGTGTGCTTATAGTGATAGCCTTTTGCCGTCAGAAAGTATTTTGACCCACTTTTGAGATATGGTGTCTGAAAGTAGGTCAAAATAAAAAAATCTCCAAATTTAATGTATGAGTTATGAATTAAGGGTAGAATTTTCTCAGGAGTCCGAATCTTTAAACCAAAATACAATCTAACTTCTGGCTAGATAGTTATAGCGGTTTGAAGTCTCGAAAAGTCGATATGATGATATCCCCATGTTAAGCCAATGGAGTCGAAGATAACATTCTTAAGAGTTGTCTAAATGTCTATATTCTAGCTGACTCAGCTTATTCTGAATGACTCAGCTTACAAGTATTTGGATGACTCAGCTTAAAAAAAGTCTGAAATCTGGAGTCTTAAATTGAACTTGTTCAATTTACATGTCTAGTTATTCCTTCTTTCTTTCTTTCTTCCTCCTAACAGATTTTCTCTCCAACTATAACATCTTACTTAATCCAACCTACATGGTTGACTAGGGAATGTATCTGGCTTTCTGGGAAATAAGGTCAAATTTTTATCTAGGTCATAGGTCAAGAACTAGGTCAAATCTTGGATTTTCACTAATTCACCACTTTTCTCAGTCCTCTTTCAATATTTTCGCTCCGGTTTTTTTCATCATGTTCCTTGGAAAAAACGCTAATTCCGTCAGGCAAATCGTTTTTTGATTACTCTTACCGATTTTGAGATATTGCGTCCGAAAAGTAGGTCAGAACAAAAATGTCTCCAGATTCATCATGAGAGTTATGAAAGAAGTGTAGAATGATCTCAGGAATCCGAATCTGCAAACCAAATTTGGATCAGACTTCCGGTTCGGAAGTTATGGCGTTTTGAAAGCTCAAAAATCGCTAAATTTGGTGCCTATCTTAAGTCAATGGGAAAAAAAACTTTTTCGAAGTGTAAAATACAAGATATAGACTGAGTAGAGCTTAACATAATGAATGCTTATAAAAGAAGGGGACCTCAAAAGCTACATAGCTTCAAAATTTGGACACCAAAATGCCTAGGTCAAAATCTAGGTCAAATTCATAGTTTTTCCTTATTTTTACGATTCTGACACTACACTTTAATAATTTACTTCAAAATTTTGTATACAGGTAGCAAAGAGTGTGCTAATAGTGTTAGCCTTTTGCCGTCAGAAAGTATTTTGACCCACTTTTGAGATATGGTGTCCGAAAAGTAGGTCAAAATAAAAAGTTCTCCAAATTTAACATATGAGCTATGAATTAAGAGCAAAATTTTCCCAGGAATCCGAATCTGCAAACCAAATTTCAATCCGACTTACGGTTTGGAAGTAATTGCGTTTTGAAAGCTCAAAAATCGCTAAATTTAGTGCCCCATGTTATGTCAATGAGAAAAACGATTTTTTTGAAGTGTAAAATACCAGATATAAACTGAGTACAGCTTAACATTCTGAAAGCCTTTAAAAGAAGGGGACCTCGAAGGCTATCTAGCTTTAAAATTTGGACACCAAAATGCCTAGGTCAAAATCTAGGTCAAATTCATAGTTTTTCCTTATTTTTGCGATTCTGACATTACACTTTAATGATTTGCTTCGAAATTTTGTGTACAGGTAGCAAAGAGTGTGCTTATAGTGTTAGCCTTCTGCCGTCAGAAAGTATTTTGACCCACTTTTGAGATATGGTGTCTGAAAAGTAGGTCAAAATAAAAAGTTCTCCAAATTTAACGTATGAGTTATGAATTAAGGGTAGAATTTTCTCAGGAATCAGAATCTTTAAACCAAATTTCGATCCAATTTCTAGTTAGATAGTTATAGCGGTTTGAAGTCTCGAAAAGTCGATATGATGATATCCCCATGTTAAGCCAATGGAGTCGAAGATAACATTCTTAAGAGTTGTCTAAATGTCTATATTCTAGCTGACTCAGCTTATTCTGAATGACTCAGCTTACAAGTAATTGGATGACTCAGCTTAAAAAAAGTCTGAAATCTGGAGTCTTAAATTGAACTTGTTCAATTTACATGTCTAGTTTACATTCTTTCTTCAACTATCATATAACTTGGAACATGGACTTCACTATCGCACCACTGAAGTTCAGCGAATAGCAATATAGACTCACTCCGAGCACCAAACATATTAACCTTTTGACTAAGCAGTCGAAATACTCAAAAGCGACGTGGTTGAAAGCCAAAAAATTCGCGCATGCGCTATCGAGGTAGGGTAGTGTGATGAATGACAGGTTTGAAATGTAGTCATCTGAATTAAAGATATCAGCTGAATAACATGATTACATGACCTGTATTATGAATAGTAAAAGTACATGAGTCTCTTGGGATTGACACAAGGTTGCAAAGGTTAAATGGGGATCGATCATTTTTCAGTATTGTTTATTGTACATGTATACTTGTACAAGTGAGTGTTGAGGGGGGGGGGGGGCATTTAGCCAATTGTTTCCAGGATTGCTGTGTCCATCAAAAAAGAGGCAGCCAAAGCACTCTTTACGGCATTAACCAAACTAGGAGTGTTTTTGGAGTTGAGGGGTTGAGCCCTTGCCCCTGGTTTGTGAGCCATAATCAACACATTTTCCAGTTCACCTTGCTCAAGAAGGCCTGAGAGTTCTGAGCTCGATCCAAACAGGCCGTCGTCATCATGGCCAGTCAACACTTGGTCATTAACTGTTAGTCTGTAGGCATATGGTGACACCCCAGTAGACTTGGTAGATCTGAGTTTGGCTAGAGCAACCTCAGCATTCTCAATGGAGTCCACCGATACTGTTGTTGCAATAAAACCATCACATGGTTGTCCAGGGGAGGCGTCTAAGTGGGCATTAGCATGTACCCTATTGGGCATTTCCAAAGGGGATTTGGAGAAGTTGGGTGGTACCAACCCTGCAGAGGTATACAGCTTGTCTTGCACAAGTTTGACTGCCTTGGGATTAGCAGCAGAGCTCTTAAGATCTTTGAATGTGCTATACTGTGCATCGCGTTTCAGTTGCATCTCCCTATGGAGTTGCCTGGCAACTCTAATATCAGATCCCTTTAGGTGATGCACATACTTAAAGATCTTTTCAACACTGGAGCGATCTGCGAACTTCACTACGATAGGGCGGTGGCCTCTCCCAGGTTTGCCTATGGGGTGGGCAATGTCAATCCTAATTTCACCAGTTGGATTTTCTTTAGAATAGATAGAATAGTTTATCTATAACAGTATAATTATCATGATAGATACATGATTGAGGCTTATAAATGATAAACAATGGATACATGAGTTAGGATTACTTTGGACTAGAAAATAGTCCCAGCAAACAAAATGGTGGACATAAAATATTTAGAATTCACAATGGTTTGAGCTTTATTATACTCTAACAATGCAAGAAGCACACATTTTCATGCTCCTTCGATGTTCCTTGGTAAGGTAAGATAGTCCCAGATAGTCCCAGCAAACAAAATGGTGGAAATAAAATATTTAGAATTCACAATGGTTTGAGCTTTATTATACTCTAACAATGCAAGAAGCAAACATTTTCATGCTCCTTCGATGTTCCTTGGTAAGGTAAGATGATTTGTGGAAATTTTGGAGTCTTACAAATGTGTCTCCATTGCAATCCTACTCCTTGATATTTTAAAAAGTTATCCTCACTTTACTGTCTCCATGCTAGCTTTAGGGACCCATGCACCTCCAATTCGTAGTTATAAAAATTGCGTTTAAATGTGAAGTTTTCATTGACATGTCTCTTTAGTCAGTCAGTGCATTCACATATAAGGAAAACAGATACACAAAATCTTGTGACTTTATCAAAAAAATATGGCTGCCATGTTTTTTTTACTTTTGATTAACTTTAGCGTTACCTTAACCTGCAGAAAAAAGATATCGTATCTTAGATAAAGGCACATAAAATTGCGAATAGTTAACGATATGATTAATTTTCTATTTCATATGAAATACGCCTTTTGTTCGTCTGTCTTACTTATCATACATAGTACAATACTGAGTACATTCATCTTATGACACACAGCATATACTTTACATATCTTCCATTGTAGTTTATAACGACTTTCTTAATATATGTTACAGAAGATGATGTGGTAAGCCTTAGTGAAGATGATAACCTAGAAGGAATCTCGGGAAAGAAATTGCGAACAGTATCCAGCGTGAATGTGGAAGGGGATGAACAGGAGGTGGTATCAGCAAGTGATGATGATGCTAGATCTGAATCAGGTATATAGAGTTGCATTGCATATAGAGTTGCATCTTTGTCGTCCGATGAGATGTATGGTTCATATTTATATTACAAAGAAGTAGGAATTTCGAAAATAAGGAATATACACGGTTTCCCAACAGAGTCTTTTTCAAACTGTCTTTAATTACTGCAGTACTTACTGAGTTAATAATACTATTATGGACAGATGGAGAAATGTTTCGCTAGATGTATCTTCAAGTTAGCAGTTTGGTAATTTGAGATGCCACGTTGCGATGTGCGCTAGATCGCATGACACGAGCTATCTTGGTTTAGATTCCAAATTCAAGATAGATGGTCATACCATGAAACTAGAATTATTAGGAAATAATGTTATTGAAATGTATTTATGACTCTAAGGTTTGTCAAAAGAAACAATAGAATATCATATGGTGGAGCTGCCGGGTAGTTTGTCGTTAGAAAGAAACAATAGAATATCAAAATACAATAGTGTCATTTTCTTCTGAAGAAGATTTTAAACAATACATATCTTCCACACCAGTTGAATGCTTAAATAAATTAACAAATATGAAAGTATCAACACTTGCGAAAAGGGAATGTCCCATTATAATGTTAAAAACATTTCCCGGCATTTATGAACGTTTTCGTGTGGATCATAATTAACACACGTCATAGCTAGTTTAAGATATAAATTTGGTGTGACTGCCGTTACCGATGAAACCTTTTCAAATTGTAAACTGAGCCGATGTGAATGTACACCTATTACCCTGTGTCAAATATTTGGAAAACATGGACAAAATGGGTCACTTTATAAATAACTTATGCAAGCAGTACGAATCACATTGAACATCATATCGGTGCTTCTAAACGTACTGATATTCTTATTTAAAAAATGTATGTGTTACATTCACAAGTAGTTTTTTACAATATTGAGTCATAGAGTAAAACGATTGAAAAACTCCTATTAGAACAATAAAGAGCTTTCCAATTGTATTGAACATTTTAACACAGTTTACAACTGGAAATGAGATCAGGAAATATTTTTCTTATAATTCTTCAAATGATCATACTCAATTTACTTTCTAATGGCTGATATGTAAGGCTTCTTCGGCAAAATGCGAAACAACTGCAGTTACATGTTTTAATTATATCAAATATGTACTTCATTCTAGATGTTTCCATATATTTTAGAACAATGTTCAATTCAAATTGTTCTATTTTCAACACGTCTTTCAAAATTTAAACGTGAAATCATCTCGAGGTGTATATTAATGTATGTTATAAATCGACTTATAATTAGGTGACGGAGTGGTACAATAAAAAGACTTTAATATTTATCTTGTCCAGTTTGGCAATCCCATGCATTCTACTATACACCTCGATCCATTTTAGATATTAATATTCAGCCCGGTCCATGTACAAGCCCAGATGAAGATCCACTCGAGAAAGAAAAAGAAATGATGGCATTGTACGATAAGGAAAAACATTTTGCTGGGGACGAGTATTTATCACCATTGAAACAAGCACTACAGGGAAGCCATGAGTCTGCAACAACAAGCGTATACGATGTTGGACCAAGCGGAAGTACACCTTATACAAAACAGTATGAAAAAAAGCTAACTGATCCATGGACAGAAGATATAACTAAACACTCAGATGAATATCTAGGTAAATATACAGAGTGATCCAAAAAAATTTAATAACTCGGCCATCCAGCATTGGTTAAAAATCATATTTGACACAATCAAAAAATATAGGTATCGATATGGTGAACTGAATTCTGAAACAATGTTTTTCTCTTAAACCAATTATTTAAAACAGTCTGTAAAAAACACGGTCCTTTTATGAAATGTTGACTGATTGACAAACAATTTAATGCGAAAATTATTTGTATATATTTTATATAACTGTTTTTGTCAACATTTTCTTTTGTTTTATAGTGCAATTGTTTCCTTTCTACCAATTCTTGAGAATGAAATTAAATGTCTTTCCGAACCTTTATATGACCATTAAATTGACAGGTTCAAGAGAAACGTGTGTTCAAAAAGTTCGCCATATCGATACCAATCCTTTGTTCAATGTCCTATCATTTTTTAGTTTTATTGGCCATGGTCTATTTCAAATGACCACGATTCAATGGTTATTTACAAAACATCCTTAAAAGGCAAGTTTCATCTCTGGTGGCTAGGTGGAACGCATTGGGTGAACTTGTTCTGATAGTACTCTCACTGTCCAGATACCTTGGGTAATGGATTCTTCTTATATCTTATCTTGTTTCAACTCTCTGATGTTTCTACAGGGACATAGCTAGAATTTACTAAGGGGGTCTGATTTTCTTCAACAGGGGGTTTGTTTTATAAGGAAATGGCAGGGGGCTCCGTTCAACGGAAACGGTTAAAATGAACCAATCATTATTACGGAATATAGTATGTGATTCATCAAATAGCTAGTCAAACGGGCGATTCAATATGTGCACAAAAATAATCATCTTTTTAAGAGTGTGGTTTGTTACCATCCTGGAGCTTGAATGTTGATTTTTCAGAAAAGGGGGTTGATCCTGACCAATGTTCACTTTATAACGAAAGGGGGTTAGAGGCGAATTTGGGAGGTTCTCACGAGCCCAACAAAACACTGTTGCTACGCCCATTTGTAGTCTAGAGTTGTAAGTGTGGACAATATCTTTGAAATAGCTACAAAGATAAAAGGATCATATCGGGGGTGTCTCTTATATTGAGCATGTTTTGTAAAATGGCCATAAAATTGTGACTATCAGATATAGACCAATGAAACTTATTTAGAATGAAAGAACATTAAATTTAACAACGTTTAATTGTGCTGGATATGATTTGATGCCCATGCTTGATGACGGGGGTCATAAATATTTGTTTGGGTTCCCTTTTTGTCTCACCCTGTAGTTAACCCATAAATTGGATATGAAATACCCATAAAGCTATGGTTCCAGTCATTTGCCCAGCTATGTGGCAAAATTATGTACCAAGTAAGTACACGTTACTTACACACAGTTCTTCTATTTTTAAAAATAATGGTTATTATTACCACCTTGCCGGGACAGTTCTAGGGGTTTTAGTGCTAGTTTAGAAGGCGTTTATTTTACTATATCGACCTGAGAAATGTGTGACGTCATAGTGGTGGTCCATATGGACCGGTCTAGAATATATTCTGGACCGGCAATTTTCCCCGGGAAATTAGATATCGTTCAATGCGTAAGATTTTCTTGCTGTTTCAGTCCTGGTCGTTAACGGTGGTAATAATACTAATAACGTCATTTCTGCGAGCGATATAGTGAAATATTGGACCTTGGGCCTTCGGCCCTTGGTTCAATATTTCACTATATCGCCCTTAGAAATGACGTTATTGTACTATTAACTTAAAAGAAAGCAAGCAAGTACACACGCGTTACATAGTTTTGGACTTAATTCTGTTCTTCGTCTATTGTCAATGCAATTGAGGGAAATATAAGGCATGGCTGATTTTTCTTCAAACTAGCTGCACTTATTTAAATACATTGAGGAATAACTGACATGAATTTCAGGCACACATTTTTTGTGTCTATGAATTTATTGACATTGGAATTCTACACCACCACAAACCCCGGAGTTGTCAGATAATTTATGTCGCATTTTTTCAATTTTTACTATAATTCTCAATTTTAAGAGCAATGTTATTTGTATCAGATTAATCGAGCAATTTCCATATATAGCACTTTCAAAGAAATAATACATATGTTCAAAGAGACCCCATACATCAACGGGGTGGATATTTGGCTTGGTGAAGGATCATATGACATGTTCCTGAGCGACTGAAAGAAATGTCCCCATTCGTTAGGCAAAATGATTTTGCATATTGACAATGCATCGGTGTATTAGTCACTTCACTTTACTTTCTATTCAAACTTCTATTTATATATACAGCTTCATATTTGCCAGATTTTGCACTACACTGAGACTTTCATTTTTCTGATTATTGGGCCA